ATTTTCATGAAAAGACTACAAGCTTTGAGGATTAATAAGAAATTTAAATACTAACTTGCTTTTCCGTGGTGTTGAAGAAGGGCTCGTTGGTAGGGATCTCCACATTTCATGGCGTCGCCCTCCACATAATAACTGGATTAAATACCACCGGGCAGCGAGCGCCAAGCCGACACGCACAGCCCCCAGTAAAAGAAAGGAAGGCCGGACTTTTTACACCACCTTCCCAAGGAGTTTTTTAATTCTTAGCACACAAGGACGTCCCTGGGAGCACCGGGGCAGGCAAAGCAGCCTGCAAGGACAAGGAACAGGAGGGCGTCTTGTCCGTGGGAAAGGTGTGGGAAGACACTTGCCTGGGCCACCTCGACTTCTCATGGGGGAAGGGTGTTCAACCTTCAGGAGACAAAAATCCAGGGACCATCTGCACTGTGCACAGGCAGCCTTGGTTGTGCACAGCCGGCCCTCGTTGTGCACAGCTGCCCTGGCATCCAGTGTCTCCTGTTCAGAGCCTTCTCCTCCAAGAAGCAGGTCCCTAGGCTTACATGGAAAGAGACATCCACCACGTGTGCAAGCATCTTGCTAAAAGAAGTGGTTTTGCAGCCCTGGAATCAATCCCCCCCATCAGCAGGAGAATGCCCCTGCATGCAATTTCCATGCAATTTCCCAGCCATCCCTGCTTGGAGCAGCGTGAAATCGGTGCAGCCCTGCTGGGAGGCAGGACTGGGGACCCTGATGGGACTGGGACATCCAGGTGTCCTCTCCTTCCAGGTGGAGCTGGGGGAAGGAGGCTCCGTCCATTCCCAGGGAAGGCGGTGGTGCTGGAGGAGAGCACAAGCCTCTGCCACCATGTGCTCCGTGTTTTGGAGCCACTTGGGCCCTGCGGTGAGGCCGGGTGGGAATGCAAGGAGAGCCAAGAACAGCAGCAGATGGATTTGGTGGCACGCTTTGAAAAGTCAAACCTCCTGCTATGGATATGGCAACTGCTAAGGAGCGCTCGTCCACCAAACCACCTGGTCCCACGGCGCGCGCGGTTGACACGGCGCGGTGGTTCCCACGGGGCAGCTCTTCTCAGCCAGGTCCCTCCCGGCAAAGGTACCCCCGAGGGGGTTTAGGAGTGACCGAATGCCAAGGGGCAAGATGCGGGTGCCTCCAGGGTGTATATCATAGTGCTATACGCATAGATACACGCTTTTTAAAGAAAATGTCACCAACAGCAGAGGAAGAACTGGACAAAACCAGAGTAGCTCTCCCAAACCCCATCTCCTCATACGGCTCCGCCGTCAGAGAAGCCCCTCCCGCAGCAATGCCCGCACGGAGCCCCCATCCCCTGGCACAAGCAGCTTTTCCTCTTCTAAAGAGAAATCCCAGGCACAACGCAAAGCTTTCAAGTGACAGCAAGTCAGCTGTGTTCCCAGGTAAATCCCCCTTCGGTTAACGCCGCTGCTTCAACTTTACAGCACGTTTCTAACCCAGATTTCTCTCTCATCGTGTCTTTGCCCACTACAGTAAAGAGCCACGAGCTAATAGAAATCATCTCTTCATTTATCTGCTCAGGAATATTAGTTGAACTTTGGCTCCCTTGATACATGGACCTCCAAGAAGGCCTTGTGGAGTGCATTTGAAGAGAGGCACTGTCCCAAGCCTCACTGGTGAACTTGGGATATACTTTTACTCGTTAGCAATACAAAATGAAGATTCATTAATTAACGCATCACCAAGACGTGAATTTGGCTCCCTAGTGAGGAAAAGTTAGGGCAAAGCTCACATCTATTTTGGGCTGTTTATAAACTGCTTCCTAGTTACCCAAGTTTGCCCTTTTCATTACTAAGAAGACGTGTCATTATGGAGTTACAATATTTCTAAATATACCCACTCTTCCCAATATTTAGAAGGGAATGGGGGTGCCTGGAGCCAGTCCAAGAACAAAGCAATGACTGCAAGAAGAACTGTGAGGTGGGCAGAAAACGAACCTTTCCCTTTAAAACACCCTCATTTGCACTTTGGAGAAGTTCCTGCACATCCCAGCTAACAGACAATGTCCCAGCAACTGCACAAAGAGGGGGCCAATGAGGGATGGAAGGAGGCAGGAGGAAAAATAGGTGGGGAGATGGGAGCGCAGCGGCTTGGCTTTTCTATCCTCAGCGCCTTCGTGCAAGGCAACTACAGACCTATAAACTCTGTAGTTCGAGGACAAGAATCTAACCTCCTGTCTCCTGAAGAGACAGCACAGATGCAAGATAACATCTTCCAGATGTTCAGAGGGCCGGACCCGCTGGAAGGACCTCCCATTCCTTCCCTGCCCTCCTGCCTGCGCTTCCCTCCCATGCTCACGCGTCTGCTTCTCGCTCCCAAAGGCTTTGCTCGATGCGTTTAACCAGGGATGCCGGGCGCTGTATGGATTTGTGATGCAGAACGCTGGGAGCCGTCAAGGGAGAGAGGCTGGGACAGACGTCGGTGGGGTGATGCCTGCACTCGGCGGGGGGATGCCAGCCCCCATGGGTGTGCAGCCGCAACGCTTGTGTTGGCAGGCACAAGGGCTTCGCTGCCTGCCGCAACGTGAGATGCACTGATAGGAGAGAGGGATTTGTCATCACAGGCCTCAGTGCTCTGAGCAGCCGGGTGGGAGCTCGGGAGCCGTCTGGGATGCTCCGGGTGGCTCCGTGTTCTCACTCCATCCTGCAGCAAAACACAGCCCTGCGGCTTCCTCGGACGGAGGGAACCATCAGCTTCCCAGGCTGGTTTCTGTGATTGCTTCTGTGGTCCGATCATCCCATCCCATCCCATCCCATCCCATCCCATCCGATTCCATCCTCGTGCCCCATGGTGGAGCAATGGCCCTGCTCCACCACCGGCATGGGCTGACCTGCCAGCGCTGCGAGCTGGCATTTTCTGGGTGCTAATCCCAGCTCCTAACAATGCCAAGGAGGAAGGGGTGGAGGATATTTTTTTCTTGGCCTCCAGGGATTGAAATAGAAGAAGAAAGACAGTTCTGCCATATCCAGTTACTGCAACGCAATCTAACTGGGCCAGTTTCACTGACAAATTTGACCAGCAGCCAACTTGCTTTGTCTTCCATGGCCCAAAGCTACCGAAGTTCAAAGGGGAGCACGACGGGTGCTTTTCTCAGGACCTCTGTCGCGGCCCTCCCCACGGCCAGAGCTGCACACCCTCTCCAGGGCTCCTCTCCTCCCCGTGCCATCCCTTGCCACCATCCCGAGTCCTCTCCCGCAGCACAGGCGCACACACGCTCTCAGGCATCTTTCAAATAACGTAGTGTTCAACCAGACCATTTCCCAGCTCTCTATTTCCAAAAAACACAAATTTCCTTCCTTCCTCCTGATCATGGACGCTTCCCTGTCCCAATTCCCAGTCGACTCCTCATCTTCCCATGGTTAAAAGCAAAATAGCATCAGTAGTGATGCCAAAGACAAGAGTCCCCCCTGCCTGAAAAAGCAGCTTTAAAAGTGTCAGCTCAGTGCTGGCTGCAAGCCGGGATCACCTGCAAACCAGTGCAAACCCTTGCGGCATCACTGGGATAACTGGTCCCACACAACAGCATTTCCCTTTCCAGGCAGGTTTGTCCTGCAGCACCTGCAGTTCCCCACCACGGGGAAATAAAAATAAATAAACCAGCCCGCCGGTGGGAAAATAAACCCAGTGCTCCCGTGGCGAGGGGCACGGCGCTTTCTGTCCCCCGGCCCAGGCCAAACGCCACATACGGAAGGTGAAGCTGCGAGTGCCTTGTCCTCAGAGCCGCCCGAGCTTGGAGAGGGGTGGGGGGAACCGTTTAACCCCTTGTTCAGGGCTCCGAAAGAAAAACTTCATTTATTTCTCCTATAGCTGCAATTTTCATCTTTTTCTCCGTGTTTTCTCCCGGGCCCCGGTTAGGAGGTGACCCTCCTATAATAAACTCCGTACACATCCATAAAGAGCTATTTCCAAGTGCTCACAGGCTGGTTAGAGCTCGATTGCTCAGCTGGGAGATCCGGGGTACGGCTGGGTGACCTGGAAGAGCTGAGGAATCGGAGCCAGAGCGGTCTCTTAAGAGGGGCATCCACATAAGCCTCCGCTCTGCTTACGCTGCTGGTACTGCTCAGCCCTGTCCCGTCCCAGCAGAGGCGAATCCAACCTGGGACACGAAATCTGCCCGCGATTACACAGATAAAAGAGCTGAAGACTCTCCTTCTTTCACTTTCTGGCTCACCCTGCCGTGAAAAACCAGGGAAACCAAATGCTTCCCAGCCTCCCACGCACGAAGCACATACCAAATATATTTAGTGCAGAGGTTAATAAATGTTACAGAGAAGTGGGATTGGCTCCCACTAAAGCAAGGCACAAAAGGAGGAGAGGGACTGGCATGAAACTTTCTAGCTCAAAGCAAGCTATTAAAGGATTTGCCAGGTGCAGAGAAGGAGATAAATGTACCCAAATCAAAAGAAAAGAATGAATTTTAACTGAACAATAAACATGAAACAAACAGCTTGGGGCAAAACCTGCTTCTTGGGGTGATTTCCACAAAGCAGCAAACCTTTTTTATTCCACAAGGACCAGTTTAAGCTTTTGCACAAGAGGAATTGAAGGGATTGAGAGTCTGGAGATCTCCAAAGGGAAAAAAAAACAAACAGGAGGAAAAAGAAATGCAGCCGAAGGGATCGCCCTCACTACACCGGCCCTTCCAGCCGCCTCCTGGCAGCCCCAGCCCTGCTCCCAGCCCAGATGTTAGAGCAGAGGCAGGGAGAAAACCCCTGGCACCAGCACAGGTTTTGGCTTTGCCAGTAACACCGGGATTTCGTGAACCCTCTTCCCTCCTGCAGTGCCTTGACCAGCTCCCTGCCTCGCTCCTCTGGTCTCTACGTGACCGCTATTCCTCTTTAGCAAGCACAGCACGCCTCTCTCGGCGTTCGTGTTTCCCATCTCGTCCCCTAAACCAGCCCAGCGGTGCTCAGGGGTCTGCCCCGGCATTTCTGATAGAAACAGCTCGAGCGTGGGGAGATGGGACTTACGTCTAGCGAGTGTTCCCTCCGAATAAGTTTCCTGGTCTCCTTTTCGCAGTGATTGAGCATTGTGTCGCAGTTTTGCGGGCCAGGTGGGGAATTTTCTGTTTGTTTATTCTGACTGCGCTCCAGAGGGATGCTTCCATCTGGATCCACCACATCCAGCTCCTTTTCCAGCTCTTCCATCTCCTCTGGAGACAGAGTAGACAGCAAACTGTCAATATCTGGATCTTCACTAACTTGTCGCCGATATTTGGCCACTTTGGACATCTTGGCTCGCTGGCGAGACACGGTTGCGGTTGTGTGTGGTACCCAAGGAAGGAGAAAAAAAAAGAAGCCGAAGCTCCAACACTGCTTCCCCCAGCAGCAGCAGGTGCTGAAGTGTTAAATCTCAGCAGCTCTCGACCGCTGCAGCCCAGGATATAGTAGTTATAAAGAGGGGACACCCCTCGGTCCAAGAGTTGGCCAATAACAGGATCCAGCCGCGATTTCGGGTGCTGGGAAGCCAATGGAGCCCAGCGGGAGGCGGGGAATGGTGCTATCAGAGGAGCCTGAAACCCGAGGACATTCCAGGGAACCATGCAGAGCTGCATGACCAAATTTAGTCCGGAGCATTTAGCCTTTTAAAGGCAATGGGCCAACCTAGTGAGAAAACAGGCAAAAATGCACAAGCTGGCAGGCTGGGGATCTGGGGGGTGGGGGAGGCAGATCCCTAGCATGTGCCCATTGGTGCCGGGGGGCTAATAAAAAGGTCAGCGTGGCTCCGAAGATACGGATCGTCTCCGCCGTTACAGGAGGGGAGAGTTTCTGCCGTGACAGCAAGAGCTCTTGGCTGAAATCGGCAATAAAGCGCCCATCCCAGACAATTTTTCATCTTTATCCTGCTGCTCTCCAGGATCTGTGCGGTTTGGTTCTCCCCTTGGGGAAAGAGGCGGCGGGTGGTTATGTTGCTGGTGCAGACTGGTTTCTTTACGAAGGATGTGCAAAGTCCAGCACCTTGGAAGCGGGGAGGAAGCGGGCAGCGCCAGCCCAGCCCGGCGCCTGCTCCTCGCTTGGCAAAGTCTGACCCCAGCACCGTCCCTGGGTCGCTTTATCAGAGCTTCTGCCCATTCCCTGTCCTCTGCAGGGGTGTTTCTGCAGCTGCTCTTCATCACAACACTCCCCTTTCCCCTCGCCAAGCCCCAGAGACATCCCTCCTTCTGCACAGCCTAAATTCCTGAGCCTCTCCTGCTTCTGGTTCAGGCAGTGCCCTAAGCCTGGGCTTTGGCTGGAGGCACCTACTTTCCATCAACCTAATCCACAAAGCAGCTTACTGGCACCTGCAAATTCTCCCAGAGGGACAGACAGCTTCCTCTCTCCAAGTTTCAAGGCAGCTTTACCCCACGCACAGTGTTTTGTACCCATTTGTTACCCTGCCAACTTCATCCTTTTTTCTTCATCCTTTATCATCCTCCTAAAATTTACTGCCTGCTCTCAGGCCTCTCTGCTAGGCCAAACAAGCAGCCCTTTGGTCTTCTTCTGTAAAATAAGCTCTCATAAGACTTTCCTCGTCAGCCTAATTACCTTCTCTGCCCGTCTCCCTGCCTCAGATCCCGTCCTGAACACAGGCACAGGGTGCTCCAGGTGAGTCGCCCAATGCCTTGTGCTACAAACCAGACATTCCCCATCTTGACGGGAAATGCGCATCCTTGTTGCATTCTAGGATTTCATTTATCTCCGGCATCACAGCGCCCAGCTCCTGCTCATAGCCTTCCTATGATTCACCAGCACGACCGAGATTTTTTCCAGATTGTAGAAGAAACTGTCGGGTTTAGTTTCCAAGTGCATAACCTTAAACATTGCCGTGTTGAATTTCATCCCATTTCGCACCATCCCTTCTATCTCCCCGATACCACGACCCTCGTCTTGGTGTTCACTTGCACCGAGGACTAGGAGGGACGTGGCCATCCCCTTCACCTTCTTCTGGCCTCAGCCCAGTCCGACTCTTCTCCTTCCCTCAGCACCTTCAAACAGCGCTGAATGCAACGGGAACCAGAGTGAATTTAGCGTACTGGTGTCCATTCGGTGCCCTCTTCGTCCGCAGAAGCCAAAGGAGTGTCTTGCTTGTTCCACCTTACTACAGCCCTGGGCCTCTCTAACGTGCTCTCTGGTTGCTTTTCAGGATACAGAGTTCAAAAAGTTTTAACACTGTGTCTTCTGGGAGAGAAATTTGAGTTAACAGAGTCTGGGGATGGAAGAAATGGCCAAATGCCTGGTATTTCTACGTGGCGTCGCTGTGCTTGGTCACCAGAGCAAACGGCAAGTGCTTGTGAAAGGGAAGCAACAAACTGGAAGCTCAGTTCCCAACTGGAGAGGGCACAAAAAAAAAAAAAAAAGTAGTGAGGGATCATAGCTATGCGTGTCCCTCTTCCAGGAAAGATCCAGGCTTTCTCGGGTGTGCCACCCCTGGCTCCAGGGACAGGGTACATGGACAGCCCCAGGGACAATCTGCGGTGCTAAAACAGAGGAAGAACCTTTCCACTGCTGAGGAACACCTGGAATTGTCTGTCTGTCTGTCTGCCCTTCCTTCATGACTCTTTCCTGTGTTGTAAATCAGTTTTCAACAGAATAAAATCACTATCGACACCTTGATAAGGTCTCTGTTTTGTTGGTCCTGAATCTTGACTCCTGTGATAAGAAGCGCCAGACACCAAATTCCCTAAGAAACCGTAAACGGGACCTGGGAGGCTCCGAGTTTCTCCTGAAGCATCACACATCCTTCCCTGATCTGAGAGCCCCCGTCTGCCGGGCTCTCCTCCGCTGAGCTGCAGAGCCGGCTGTGCAGAGGTAACACCAGAGTCGGGGTTTTGCACAGAAATATTCCTTCATTAGCAGAAAAGCCGGGAGAGGAGCAGGGGTCACCCTAAACTTGTCATGGTTTATAGCGGATGGTCTTACTGCAATTTATCTTGGCTGTCACACATCTCTTTTAGCATAGCTCTGTGCCATATTCCACGGCGTTCTCGGTGCTGGAAAAAAGAAAACATTGGAAAGAAAATCTAGTGTTTTCACCCCAGAATAAGAGGAGCTCTGGATATGTCTACACTGGCTGCTCTGTCACGGGCCACCAGCAAGTGGGATGGGGGACGTGTGTGGGGACCCTTGGGCCTCGCTCCGCAGCCGGCTCCAGCCACCACGGGCCCTTTGAAGCTGTGCCCGTCAGGAGAGCACGGCACGGTGCGGTACGGTGCGGTTTGGTGCAGAGGAGCTCCCAGCAGCTCCAAATCTCCGCCGAGGCTCCGTCAGTCTCCGCATTTATCAGGATCCCCATCTCCATAGCAACTGAGCACCTCGGAGGCACTAATGAATATTTCTGCACAACGCTCCTTTGAAACACAGCAACATGATTAACCACGTCTTAGAGATGAGGAACTGGGACAGAGTCAGATTAAGTACCTTTTCCAGGTGCATGTACAGGCTCTCTGGCAGAGCTGGGACAGCTTTCCATGCCCCCCATCTCTCGTGCCACCACCTAGGATTGTCCATATTCCTTTATTTTTTCCTATTAGCTGATAAAGGACAACTGAAAATGGAATGGATTCCTCTAATCTGTTTTATTTGCCTTTCCTTCAGAGCCTGGAGGAGGAAAGGTTAAACGCACTGATCTTTTTTTCACTTTATAAGATGTTCCTTGAGAAAGCAAGTGTCATCTCCCTGCCTGGTTGGGACACGCGGCTGCTCTGGAACACGTTGTTCCCATGGCCAGCGTCAGAAACTGCTTCTTCGCCAAACCCAACTGCAGCTTCACCCCAAACCTCCCTCCGCAAAACACCTGCTCACGCAAGAGCGAGGGAAGCGTGGAGAAGACATTATATATCGGGAAAGGAACCGGCTCCTGGCCGCAGGGAAATTCAGAAAACCCCAGAAAGCCCTTGAGCACCTTCCAGCAGCCTGCCGGGGGGGGCCCCCAGTGCCCCCAGCTGAGATACTGGAGGTCCCTTTGGTGACTTTGGCCACTGCAACTCAAGCATCAGATGGGCTTGGCAGGGAGTTTCACCAGCTCTCCCACTGCTTGTGAAAGCGATGACCAGAACGAGCGTTCAGATTGATATAATTAACCTGCCACTCATCAGGGGCGAGGACAAGGGTTACTGCAACATCCAGTGTGGGACCAGCCACAGCGGTGACAGAGGAGACGAGAGGTCTGCTCCCAGGCTTGACCAGGCTACGGCGGCTGGGACGAGGATGAGATTTTCCACTCTTCCCATCTCCCCTCCTTTGCCAAAGCAGAAGCCACAATACCACCTTCTGGTAATCTCCATTACTGCATCGCCCTCTGCTCCCATCCCGCCTCAAAAAAGGACAAACGTGCCACCGCCGCACTCGGACCACGAAGGCTTCCACTCGCGGGGAGTCTTTTAAAGCCTTCGAAAACAGCAAATTAAAGCAGGTGGAGCATTTCAGCTCCTTTCCATTGCTTCAACCCATGATTTATTAGAGCAATTAAGTGCCTTGGTGCACAATCCGCATCGCCCGTTGCAACCGAATGATTTACCACCCTTACAAGAGAGCGCAGTGTGTAAGGTTAAATTAGGAGTGTGAAAAGAATAAGCAATTTACAACTTAAAGCGCTTGCAAACATGTAGGAGGGAAAGGCTTCGGGGGTGCTGCAGGCTGCCCTGGCGTTTGCTGCCAACACAGAGACTCATTCTCTGGTTTTCAGCTCTGCCTTCCCAGCCTCCCAGGAGAGCTGCCCTCTCGCAGGCGCCATCTCTTGAGGTGCCCAGCTCTCGCCCACGCTGCCCGGCCCACAGGAGCGTCCCCAGGGACACCTCGAGGTCAGCCCAGTTGATTCAGCAGCACCAGGAGCGAGGTGGGCGCTGCTCCCACCGGCAGCTCCGGCGGGATGGACGCCCTCAGTGCGGGCACGTCACCCTGCACCAAACCCTCCGTCGCCAGGCAGGCGTCCTCCTCCCGCTCAGCCGGGTACCACCAGGCTTCTTCTCCACTTCCACTTCCAGGCTGCTGACAGCATTTTCTGTTGGGATGCATTTACAGACAGATCGGTTGCCTGAAGTCTCAAAGATCGGCAGAGCTGACTCCTGCCCCTCGGATTTGCTCACGCTTTTACTACAGGTGCTGCTTATTAGAGGGCTAAATAAAAGCTGCTTTGTGTTTCAGGCCTTTGTCAGAGCGCCATGACAGAAACACATGTGCTTTTTTTTCTGCGCCGGAGCCTCTCCTTAGCCCCCCGACCTGCACCCATAGGGCACCCATAGCCAGCCCTCTCC